TTTCTGCAGATAATAAATTATTCGGGGAGAGAAATCTCTAGAAAAATTCGAGGGCTAACATGCGGAAAAGGGCGCAGAGAAGGCACTGGAAATTTTATTGAATTTTTCTCGTGCTAACATGGAGTTTTCTCCCGTCTGCCCACAGCAAAAATTAATGTCTGAATTGTATACACCTTTTGTAGACATTTTTCAAACACTAAACACCTCTGAATAAAATGAAAATGTGTCTGACGTTCAGACGAACAGGTGCCCGAACATCTTAATTCATTGAAATTCAGACAATTTTTCATTTTATTTAAGATACAATACAAAAGGTGTGTGCAATTCTAAACATTAGTTTTTGCTGTGCTCCACGTCACTCTTCGATACGCGACAGTTTCTACACTGATGATCAAAAATTATCATCTAAAATTTAATAATCATCTTTAATTTTCACCAATAAATTTTCGAATTACAGTATTCCTTTACACAGATTTTTCTGGAATTTTTAAGACTAATCGCAGTTCGATAGTACAAATGGTCTGAATATGCATCTGACATCGAATTCAGTTCTGTATTGTTTATGAATTGAAAAAAAATATTAAAAATAACATGAAAAACAAAATCGAGGCTCATTGTGTTGACAATTTTTTCTATTTCATGGGGAAATTGTTAGAATTTTAATGTTTACAACAGTACAAAAGATAATGAATTTTTATTAATCACGGAAAGGGTCCCAAACATCTTAATTCATTGAAATTCAGACAATTTTTCATTTTATTTAAGATACAATACAAAAGGTGTGTGCAATTCTAAACATTAGTTTTTGCTGTGCTCCACGTCACTCTTCGATACGCGACAGTTTCTACACTGATGATCAAAAATTATCATCTAAAATTTAATAATCATCTTTAATTTTCACCAATAAATTTTCGAATTACAGTATTCCTTTACACAGATTTTTCTGGAATTAATTTTCCTCAAGTAAATCGTTTCCACTAAGCTTATTGGAGCTTTAATGATAGCTAAAATAAGTAATGTGAATTGCAAAAAAATAGCGGATATCGTTTCTTAGAAGTGGATTTGAAGGCGCTCAATTAGTCTTCTGAGATAATTATAGAATTTAGAAGGTGGGGGGATGCAGTTGAGTGCAGGTGAGGAGTAAAGGATTATTAAGAGCTTGCAGCGGGACACGCAAATACGTTTGAATTCACTTGGGAGGCACGCGACTTTGTGCTTCAGTGAGTTCGGTATGTGGGATTGAAGTAGTATAAACATAACTCAAATTTTGAAGATTAAAATCTGCAATAAATTCCAAACGGAGAGCAATATAACTAGAGACATTTTACTTAAGTTTGTGCTCAATCGACAGTTCAGTACCATTAACATAATTAATTTATAACTATGCCCAGCTACCGTTTTGTCTTATGAGAAAATGAACTTTTCGAGATGAGGGAAAAGATTAAAATCTCAGAAAAAAATGGCAGACCCAATATGAAAATTATAGTCGGTGTCAAAATTTGCCATAAATAATTTATGTTTCCGGATGCCGCGAAATGGCGTGTTGTGTGAAAGTGACAGCGTTGCGTTCGTTAAATTCATTGCCATGGCATGAAGAGGAAAATAGTTGCAAATGTACAGACGAGAGACTATTGTTTAAACAAATGATTGAAGGAAAATTCTGATGAATTATTTTCTTACACTCATCAAAATTAGCATTCACATATTTTATTTATTGATGTATTAATTAATTAATTAATTAATTAATTAATTAACCAAATTAATAACTTCATTATTCATTGAATTTATTATTAGTTTAATAAAAATTAATAATTAATAAATAAAATAATAAATTAATAAATAATTAATGATTATTATTAATAATAATTAATGTTATTATTCTGTTATTATTAATTAATTAATGAATTATGATTAATTATTATTAAATAAATAAACCTATTTATTTATTTGTTTATTAATTAATTAGTAATAATTAATCATAATTAATTAATAAACAAATAAATAAATAGGTTTATTTATTTATTTCCAGAAAATTATCACTGAAAAAAATATTTTTTATGCATTTTAATTTTATATTTCCCCGTCATACTGAACTCCTCAACTGGAATTTATCCAAACTGTTTCAACGGATGAAACAAGCTGAAGCTGTAAAATTTAGGACCGATGACTCGAAAGGAAATGTCGAATTTTTTCATGATTGTTGAGCGACAATAAATTCAATTCATCTTGCACCTCGAGAGGAAAATTATCGGCCATGTCAGGGGGTTGGTAGTGCTCCCCGGATCTCCGACAAATCGCATTAAGCAATTGGAAGGGGAACGGGAGAGCAAATACACCGGGGAATTCAACCCCTCTGACGCAATCCCCAATGGGACAGCCGCGGCCAATCCAGATGCTGCAGCAGCGCATGCGGAGACAACTTCTCAACTTCCATTTTACATGCAGAAGGAGAGAAAGAAATGAAGTCCCAATATTGAAGAGCACGCGGGTTTAAATTGAAATGGAGATGTCGCGATTGGAAGGAACAGCCCATTCTTTTGATTCAACTGAAGTTCAGTTTATTAAGATAAACTATTTCTCTGGGTATGGCACAGTGACATACATAAATGGAAATTTCGTAAATTGCAAGTTAATTGTAAAAGTGTTATCTGACTCCAAATGTCAGTTTAATTATCCCCCGATGGAAAATTTCAGTAAATATAATCTTGAATTGTCAATCAATTGAAAATTCAGCGGAATTTAACACTAAATATTCATTTTTTCGTAGAAAATTCTAGTCTATTCTAGGTTGAGAAATTCCTGTCTTAATGCTGCTTAAAAATTCGGAATTTTCTCTGAAATCTGGGCACCTGTTCGTCTGAAATTCAGACACATTTTCATTTTATTCAGACGTTTTTTAGTGTTTGAAAAAGATCTACAGAAGGTGCGTGAAATTCAGACATTCGTTTTTGCTGTGTTGTTTACCACCAATTCGACCAATACTTTTCCCTCGCGACTTGTCCTTCCTTTCGCGTAGGAAATAAAAATCAGCCGTAAAATTAACGAAGCAAAAATGTAAAAACATCTCCCCCCCTCATATTTGAAAACCATAAACCGAGTGTTTTCCAGTGCCTGGCACAGCCCTCTCCAAGGTGTAATAAAACAAAAACAATACGTTCAAGCTTAAAAGGTATTTGAGTTGTGCGGTAGAAACAGCTAACGGGCCAATAAGCTTTGAATCCCGTTAAAACTAGAGCGGATATTTCGGTTGGGGGCTGTTGCAATCTCATCCCTGCTACCCCTGGCTGTTTGTTTTAACGATAGAATTTACTATCGGCTGGGCCGATAAATGAGAAAACTTTGTTTTCCCAGATGCTACTGGGGAGAGGTATTTCATCGCATGTGTTGTGGGATATACCCATTCCCCTTTTCAAGTGGAGAGAAATAAAACGGAAATTGTTTGTTACAATTTCGATGTTTGGTACGATCTCCTGATAAAGATAAAGCAATACAATTGTTTACTTTAATCTAAAACTACATTTCATCAATCATGATTCTTCCTCTCGATAAAAACTAAATCCAATATTTTTTTTTTTCTTCTTCTTCTTCTTCTTTTGGTACCGTGGATCCGCGGTTTTGACGTGTCAACGACATCTCGGGGGGGTTCGTGACGAATTTCATGTATCGTAAACATTTTTCTTCGCACGAATCACTCGATACATTGAAGAAGAAATGAAGAGAAAAATGGGGGAAAAGAGGGAATGAAGATCGATTGGGTTGGGGGCTCGATGTGGCGTGACGTTGGGAGTCCTCGGGGGCTGGGAGGAGAGTCTTGGCCGGAGCCGGGAGACTCCGTGGGGCTGTGGATTGGTCGGACGATAAACTCGTTGGGGATGATGCCATTCATCATTCTGCGATTTTCAGGGAGGTGAGGAGATCGCTCCGGGAGAAAAGGGTTTGGGGGAATTTATCGCGCGGATTCGAGAGAAATATTCGATAAAAATTACGTATCTTTTCCGTAATGCCGGACACAAATGTTCAGTAAAAATTACGGAATTCACTCACCGATTACGGAATCCACTCAGAAAATTTAAGTGACGGTATCGTAATTTTGCACAGGAGATTTAGATAAAAATGACGGAACGCTCCGGAAAAATTCGGTGACAGTTCTGTAAAATTTCCCGTAAACCACATTTCGCTTCGGTGCATTTAAATTTTCTGTGAGTTTCGTTGAGTTCCGTAATTTTTACTGGATATTTCTCTCCGCGCGGTGGAGGTATCAATGAAATGACTCATTTGAGACTCTATATTTGATTTTTTTTCTTATTCTGAGGGAGTACGAATCAACTTCAGTTGATGCGGTGGGTGGAACAGGGGAAAATGAATTTAAAAAGCAAAAAAAAATTTTTTCATCACTGCGGAAAGTGAAATTTTACGCACGCGCCGCGGAAAACTGTTTCTTGAGCCGTGGGAGGTGTGTAGCGCTCGCCAAAGGAAGAATTACTCTTGAAATTTCGAGTAAAAAATCCCGAAATTTTTATCAACAAATAATTTACATGGAATTTCCATTGATCTTGTTATTGATAAATCAGTCAATGTTCTTGAATATTCAATGAAATTTGATTTTTCAGAAAATCATGAAAACTCAGGCAACTTTTCTTATAAATTTTCAATCTGTTGCTTAATTATCGCGATAGTTTTGAAAATCCAAATTGTCATTGAAAATGAAATGATCATTCATAATGAAAAACCCAATTTTATTGAATTTCCAAGATGAATCACGAACTCCGTGAGCAATTTAGTCTGAAATTGAACTCAAATTCAAAATATTGAAAATTCAAATTCCTCTGTTGCTTAAATTCCAAAAAATTTCCAACAGTGCAAGTGATGAAAAACGCTTTTCCGCACTAGTACCGAAATACCCTAATTCGTACAATAAATTCTATGACAACGATAACATATCTCCCTTCATGTTTTCTTATGAAAATAAAATAATAAAAATCGTCTTCCTTTCTTTTTAGGCATTGAACGGATTCCTGTTGATACTGACTTGCGACGGGGAAGTATTTTTTGCCACGCACAGCATAGAGAGTTATCTAGGATTTCATCAGGTGAGTAAAATGCGAAATAAACAAGCAATGGAAATAAATTTCCTCCTTTTTTATGTTTTCTGTTGTGTTCGGAAATAGAAAAACTTGTATTGAATGTCTCACGTGATGGTTGTGTACAAACGAAAAAAAGAGGAGACGTGGTCGGTTCTTCTGGAGAGGAAGGGTGTGTCCAATTCGATTGGTGAATACAAACTCTCCCCCAGTGTTTCTGGCATTGTCAGTGAAGTTGTGGGGTATTTTATGCTCATCCCTCTCTACCCCTCTGCCAATATCTCTCCGAGGTCTCATTCGTATTCGTAGACACTTTGGGGGATGAAAATTTCCTTCTGGTCGTTCGTTCACACCCAACAGGACCCAGTCACGCCATGTTTGACAGGTTTCAGTGCACGTGTCGCGGGCTGATGCGCGTCAACCGGTGCCAGGAGGCTTTCAAAATGTTCGGATGGGTTATTTTCTTGTTGAAATCATTGTATTGGAATATTTCAACGGAGATATTCGTTTTCGGGGATTTTTCGGTGGGGAAGTTGGAGAAAGGGTCGATCACACGTGCATATCACATTCTAGGCATGTGTTACGATGTTTCAAAATCGCAGGGACGTTTATTTATCGCGCTGATGCGTTTACTTCCTCAGTTTTTATGTTAAAATTGAGAAGACATTTGGTTTTTACGTTTTTCATTGACGAAAACTTCAAATCTGTCCTCGTGACGCAATTCTCAATCGATTGACTTGAATTTTGGTTTACGGATACAGAATATAGGCATAAGTGTGAAAAATAAGGTTTTTTTTGAGTCTTAATTTTTTGGATTTGTGCATTTTTTTCTAACACTTGTTACGGGTGAAAAATATTAAAAAACTGTTCAAAATCGTTGAAATATGAATTTTCTCAGATTTTTTTCATCATTTTCCTCATTATATTCTGAAGAAATAATTCGAATAATCTAAAAAAATTCCTACCTCAATGATTTAAGATGCAATTGAATATTAATCATTTAAAAAAAATTTCATTTCGGCCAGTTTTGAGAAAAAAAAATCCAAAAACTCAAAAAGATGAAAAAAAATTGAATAAAAAATGTATTTAAAAAAATTTAACTTCATTAATTCCTAAAAAATTCGACAATTATTCCACTGATGAATTGTTAATTAATATATCATCAATCTTCGATGCAAATAATATTTGTAAGAAATTAATTTGCACGTGTGACATCCGGTGAAAACAGTTTCTCTCATAATTTTTTGGGTTTTCGTTGATTCACTCGCCTCTGAAATACATTTTGAATTGATTTATACTCTCCTATTTCGACACTCATGAACTAAGGGTCACGAAATCCGCAAAAATGTCGCGTTTGAAACTGCCCAGTGTAACGATAATGGTTGAAGTGAGAGAAAAAAAAACCCTGAGCCACCTGCTAAAAATCCTTATGCCTCGTAATTCACCCTGCGGGTGTCGTTTCAGCGGTGTGACTCTCCTTTACTCTCATACCTCACGCAACAAACATAATAAAAAATATATAAATAAGGAGATAAAAGTGAACTCAACATCTTCGGCTTTATTTTTATTGTAATTTTTCTTCTTTAAGCTGAAAGCAAGTGGATAAAGGAGTACATAATTCAAGGTATTAAGTAGTAAGTCGTAAAAAGGGGTGACGAGTGCTCGCATATTTCACTCATTTTTACATATCTGAGTTGACGGAAGTGGAGATTATTCCATTTGAGCTATTTTTTAAAAGTCAATGAAATTATTATCCTCGTGGTTTTATATTTTTCGTCTGAATCAAGACGTGTATATTTTTTGAGGATTAAATTTTTTTGATTCATTTTTTAATTGCCAATTAATTCTATTTTCATATTGCCAGTAAGAAATAATGAAATAAAACCCCAAATATCAAATACATTTCTCATTTATATAAATGAAAAAAATATAAAAATATAAAATATTTATATAAATAAAAAAATGCACTGATTCAAGTCGATTTTCGGCTTGATTGAAGTCAATTTTGTGGCTTGACTCAAAGTGATTCTAGGGAGTTATACATGAGGTCGTACAATCGACTTGAATCAAGCGTAAATTCGACTTGAATCAAACCGATGTGCATCTCTCTGAGTCAGACTCGATTCATGCCGCCGATCCGCCATGAGGTAAGTCGATTCCCGGCATAATTCAGTCCGACCTGATTCAAACTGATTTTCCAATTTGATTCAGGCCTATTTTTTCGAGTAATTGTTTGATATTCACTTCGAAATTCGCAAAAATCGCGCAAAAATTCGATCTTCCGTGTTGATCTGCGCGCAGTGCGCGCATGCAACCTCACTTCAAAGAATCAAAATAACATCACCCCCCACCTCTTGAAATTCTCCGAATTCCCCATAAAAATGCCCATCCACTTCACCCCCTATCATTATATTTTCCTGAAAAGAATTCTTATTATTTCAAATAATTGATTTTTCAGTTTTATAACTATAACATTTTATTATTATTATTATCATTATTATTCTTATTATTACAGGTGTATATATACACTACTGTATATCGCCACCGTCCTTCTAACGGCAAATATTATTAAAAACTATCATTATATTTTCCTGAAAAGAATTCTTATTATTTCAAATAATTGATTTTTCAGTTTTATAACTATAACATTTTACTATTATTATTATCATTATTATTCTTATTATTACAGGTGTATATATACACTACTGTATATCGCCACCGTCCTTCTAACGGCAAATATTATTAAAAACTATCATTATATTTTCCTGAAAAGAATTCTTATTATTTCAAATAATTGATTTTTCAGTTTTATAACTATAACATTTTACTATTATTATTATCATTATTATTCTTATTATTACAGGTGTATATATACACTACTGTATATCGCCACCGTCCTTCTAACGGCAAATATTATTAAAAACTATCATTATATTTTCCTGAAAAGAATTCTTATTATTTCAAATAATTGATTTTTCAGTTTTATAACTATAACATTTTACTATTATTATTATCATTATTATTCTTATTATTACAGGTGTATATATACACTACTGTATATCGCCACCGTCCTTCTAACGGCAAATATTATTAAAAACTATCATTATATTTTCCTGAAAAGAATTCTTATTATTTCAAATAATTGATTTTTCAGTTTTATAACTATAACATTTTACTATTATTATTATCATTATTATTCTTATTATTACAGGTGTATATATACACTACTGTATATCGCCACCGTCCTTCTAACGGCAAATATTATTAAAAACTATCATTATATTTTCCTGAAAAGAATTCTTATTATTTCAAATAATTGATTTTTCAGTTTTATAACTATAACATTTTACTATTATTATTATCATTATTATTCTTATTATTACAGGTGTATATATACACTACTGTATATCGCCACCGTCCTTCTAACGGCAAATATTATTAAAAACTATCATTATATTTTCCTGAAAAGAATTCTTATTATTTCAAATAATTGATTTTTCAGTTTTATAACTATAACATTTTACTATTATTATTATCATTATTATTCTTATTATTACAGGTGTATATATACACTACTGTATATCGCCACCGTCCTTCTAACGGCAAATATTATTAAAAACTATCATTATATTTTCCTGAAAAGAATTCTTATTATTTCAAATAATTGATTTTTCAGTTTTATAACTATAACATTTTACTATTATTATTATCATTATTATTCTTATTATTACAGGTGTATATATACACTACTGTATATCGCCACCGTCCTTCTAACGGCAAATATTATTAAAAACTATCATTATATTTTCCTGAAAAGAATTCTTATTATTTCAAATAATTGATTTTTCAGTTTTATAACTATAACATTTTACTATTATTATTATCATTATTATTCTTATTATTACAGGTGTATATATACACTACTGTATATCGCCACCGTCCTTCTAACGGCAAATATTATTAAAAACTATCATTATATTTTCCTGAAAAGAATTCTTATTATTTCAAATAATTGATTTTTCAGTTTTATAACTATAACATTTTACTATTATTATTATCATTATTATTCTTATTATTACAGGTGTATATATACACTACTGTATATCGCCACCGTCCTTCTAACGGCAAATATTATTAAAAACTATCATTATATTTTCCTGAAAAGAATTCTTATTATTTCAAATAATTGATTTTTCAGTTTTATAACTATAACATTTTACTATTATTATTATCATTATTATTCTTATTATTACAGGTGTATATATACACTACTGTATATCGCCACCGTCCTTCTAACGGCAAATATTATTAAAAACTATCATTATATTTTCCTGAAAAGAATTCTTATTATTTCAAATAATTGATTTTTCAGTTTTATAACTATAACATTTTACTATTATTATTATCATTATTATTCTTATTATTACAGGTGTATATATACACTACTGTATATCGCCACCGTCCTTCTAACGGCAAATATTATTAAAAACTATCATTATATTTTCCTGAAAAGGATTCTTATTATTTCAAATAATTGATTTTTCAGTTTTATAACCCCCTCCCTCCAATTTAATATCAATCAGCCTCACCTCGCCACTCACATCCCGCACCTCTCACCATTCCCATGATGAATGTAGCACATTTTTGCAATTAATAGCCACTAATGAAGACACAATCGGTCTGCCCACAGGCACTCTCGCCTTTTCCCCTCCCATTTTTCACAATTTTTAGTTTATCTCTCATCGTCTCTTTATCCCCTCGTACTCGTTGATTTCCACCTCATTGAATCGAGCGCGCGAGCAAAGTACATATACACCAGTTGTATCATAACTCATCCGCGTAATTGAGTGCTCAACTCGCTCACTCTTGTGTACCAGCATCCCCTCCCCCCTCTCGTCCCTCTCCACCTCCACCCACTGACTGTGATATGTTACCACCGGAGTATATTAATGAGCCCCTAGAATTAATTATTATCATCCCACCCCTGATTTGTTTCAATTTGTTTCGTA